CGTTTTGTGTTGTCTCCCTCCCTGGCCAGACTCCGGCTGAGGCCCTTGAGAACACACTGCATCTATCGTCACATCGTGGGTCCCAGAAGACAGGCCCAGGAACAGCAGACTGCTCGGGGTGGGGGCGGGAGGGCGGGGGGAGGCTGAGCGCAGGCCTTTGAGTCAGTAAACTGAGTGTTCTGTGTTTACCCCACAGGGAAGGTGGGTTCCACCACAGCCCCCGGACTAAGCCAAGTCTTCCTGTTCCGGTTCACCTTATCTTGATGAAGAGAGCAATTTGTTTTACATCTTTTGTAGGAGCAAGTAGAACCGTGTGGGGGTGGTGGTTTTCTGATTACAATCCATTAAGGCTAAGCTGTGATTTCTAAAGCTCTTTCATTTGTGACATGAGCCAAACCCACACCCAATTTCCTCTCGCATAGAAAGCAGCATGCTACTTTTATGAAAATGATTTTTTTAATTATGTTATTTTAAGCAGAAGCATAACCGAAAATGCATATTGAGCAAAACAGAGCACTCCAGTTGGCACACAAAAAAACGGGCTTTTGAGAAAGGTGAGCAAGAGCCCACGTTGGGGCCTGGATCATTTTAACCGTTTCCAGCCTGGTTTCCCGGCGACTTTGCTTTTCCTCAGCTCTTGCAGCACAATGGCAGAAGGGCTACCGGGCCCTGGCTTACCCGATTCCCCTCCCCCGGTTCTGAGTCTTCTCTTGCCAGGACACGTCTGAGCCTTGTCCACCCCGCCCCATGCCCCGGTTGTCATCCCTGAGGCCCATAATCTGTTCAAACCCTTCGGGTGTGAGGCCGGTCCCGAACAGCAAGCGGTTGCTCCCCGTATTCTCATGCTCAAGACCTCAAAAGTGCCCCAAGGCCCCGAGAATCTAACAGCACCCCCTCTTTACTGGTCCTTTATGATCTCCTTTCCCATAGCATACGAAGGAGAAGTCCAACCTTCTTCCATCTTTTCCCCCTTTCCACAGTACTCACTGTGGAGACAGAGACTGTTTGTGCCTAATGGAAACAAACTTTAATTTAAAGGTCCCAGGACCCCCCGATAAACCGGCAAATGCAGTTTCTCCTTCCAGCAAGCCCTGTCTCTACCCAGCAACACTGACATTTGAATGGGCGCCCAGCGGTCTGCTGTTACCAGTCGATATGGGTGCAACATCTTTCTATTTTTTTTGTAATTTTTATTTTTTTTTATTTTTTTGGTGGGGGGCAACATCCTCCTAAGAGAAGGTGCTGGTATATGTGAATATCCCTGGGTGGGCCCGTTAAGGAATCTTTCCATCTATAAGAGGAGAGTGATGTCACCCACTGGAAGGTGGTCGTGAGCATGAGTGTGCATATAATTCCTGCACCCAAGGCCTGGCGTGTGACCGCCACAAGGCATTTAACTGGGTTGTCTTGTAGGCACCTCAAACTCAAAATAGCCCCAAATAGCGCTCTTTGTGCCTCCACCGTGAACACACTCACCTGTGTGTGTCCCTGGTGTTCCCCACCTGAGTACAAGGATCAGTGTCTGCCACCCCCATGACACCTGATCCAGCCTACAGATGCCCATGTGGCCCAGTGGTGGGCTTTCCACTTAGTTGGGGCATGGTGCCAGCCTTTGGGAAGGCCTTCCCTGAGCCGTGAGCCTCCAGCCACCCCATCGTGTGGCCCTGTTCTGACTGTAAACAGCACTCATAACTGTCACGAGTGCTCCTGTCTGTCTCTCCCTCCAGACCTGAAACAGGGCCTGGTCTTGCTCCCCACCGCCTGTTAGCATCTGGAATGGTGCCTGGCACACGGCAGACGCCCTCCATCTATTCACCAAGGGAATGGAGTCCACGAACAGTGGCTGCTTCCATTATTACCACAAAAATTGGAGTTATGTTTACATGAACTAAAATATATACGTATCAGGTTATTTATAGACTGGGTTAAAATGGATTGGAGGGATTTGGCAGCAACCCTACCGAAGCAGGGACGCGCGCATCAAGTCTTGGTTATTTTGTAATCTTGGAAGGCTGTAAAGGAATCGATAGACTTACAGAACCCATGAGACCCCATCACTGGATCGGAAACCTGGCCCCCAGTCCTCCGAGTCTGCGCCCACACGAGTTCTCCTTGTTAGGCCACAACTGTCTGATGCAATGAATTCAGAAATGGGTGCGTGTCTGCCCCGAACAATAAGGGTAAAAGTCGCCATTCTGTCTGGGAGGGGACGGGAAAGCCTGCCCCTATTGTCGCTGCGCAGCCCACGCTGTAGAGGAATACAGATCAGAGATTAAAAGAGGCTCAGTCCCTCTGATCCTCCTCAGCGTGGGCACCACAGGGCCCCTGCAGGACCTTGGAAGCCCCAACTTGGTTTTCTGCACGATTCTGAATTATTTAAACTGCCTTCTCGCCTGCTGAATTCTGTTTTAGCAGTAGTGCGCCCCCCCACCCGCCTTCTCTGAACATTCCCACAGACGAGGGGCTTAAAAGATGCTCATTACCTGCAGTAGGACCATGGTTACAGATTTTCAACCTCTGTGCAGGCCGGTGCTGGCCAGGGTAGATGACACCGTGGGTTAGTGAGCCCTCAGGTCCCCGACCGGGGACCCCCAGGAGGCACTTGGGTGTCAGGAGCAAGGCATCGAGGCAGAGTGTCCCAGAAGACGGAGGAAGGGGGGAGGGGAGGCAGAATCCTAATAGTTGGCCCTGTCGGTTCACAAATCAGTGCTGGAAAACAGCAACCTCAGGTGGCTTTTAGTAAAGCCTTTCTTTGTACACGTGGGCTCCTGCTGATGTGTGTGAGGACCCTCTACTGCAGTGGCATCGAGCACTTTTCTATATTCTACTCCAGAGATGCAAAGGAAAATGAATGTTCCCTTCAGGAATTGGCATTCAAGCAGAAAACGCAGGAGCACGTAATGATGGGACACCGGGGTTCACCCAGTGGTAGACACGAGTCTGAGTAGCTTCCCGACACACATCCTGGCTCAGACCCCTCTTCACGATCTCCTGGTTGCCATCTGGGTGTCCCAAAGGCGTGTCAGGCTGAACACACTCAAGGTCACACTCAGGCGCTGTCCTCCCTGTCTCTGCTGTTTGTCATCTCAAGGAATGGCATCTCCACAGGGCCCCTCTTGACGCGCCCCCCTCCCCTCCTTATTTCACACTCACTCCCTGTCATGTGGCCTCCTGAAGGTCTCCCAGGTCCATCCTCTTTCCACCCCACTGTCCCCACCTTGATCCCAGCTCCTGTCGCCTCTCATCCCGGCCCCTGGTCAGGCCACCCCTACCTTCTCGGGGCCCCTCCGGTGTGTTCTTTCACAGATTGGTCAAGTGACACCACTGCCCTTTGCTCACCTCCCCCCCCACCAACACACGCATGCGCCCATGTCCACGCACTCACACAGCCTTAAACACATCACCATCTCTCCACGGCTCCCTGTTGCATTTAGGATCGAACCAGGACTTAGCACAGTCTGCAGAGTTGGCCCCACCCACCCTGCCAGCCACACTCGCTTCCTTTTTTGATTTTGATACATTTTTTTAAAATTATCATACAGGCCAACTGACCTTTTTTTCTTTCGATAGATAGTGCTCTGAATCCTAACACATGTTCTCATCTCCTTTTAATACCCTGGCTACACCATGCATCTTCCTGCCCCTTCATGATGACCTCTCCCTCTGCCAGCCCCCAGAGGACCAGGTCACTCGTCCCGCAGAGCTCAGCTCCGACGTCCCTTTCTCAGAGACGTCTCCTCTGCCCGCCTCAACTGGGTCTTGTTCTGTGTCCTCATGGCACGAATTTTTCCTGCACAGCTGCTGAGTGGTGATGTAGATTCACTGGTGTGGCTCCTGATCTAACGCCCTGCTGGTGAACCCCCCCACCCCAGGAGGGGCACGTGTGGATTTGTGCTCGCCATCCTACCCCCAGCGCCCGGCACAGTGCTCGCCACTTAGTAGTAGGTGCTCAGCAAACACTTCCATGCATGAGTAAATGGGCAAGGCGTCGCCTGCATGGGAATGAGCCAGCCCTGCAGTCAGGACTTGGGGGAGGCGGCTTAGTGTGGTAGGGGAGCCGGTCTCCACATCAGACAGGCTTGTTCTGAATCCCTCCTTTACCTCTTTTTGTAGAATTTAACACCCTCCGAGCGGTGCTGGCTCACTTAATGAGCATAAAACCTAACAGCCTATGGGCAGGATTAAATGAGCTAAACTGCATGAAAGTCTCTGTCTTAGTAGGTGCTCCAAAGTGGCGGCCTGCAATCCGCCCTCGTGGGTGAGGGGAGGCCCTGCACCAGAGGGGCTAAATGCTGCTTGAGATCCTAATACATCCTCCTCGAAAACCTGCAGAGCCACAGACAAGTTCTCGTTCTGCTCAGGGACCGTGTCCCTTTATGCCGCTCCATTTACTGAACACAGGCTGTTTTAGTACCGCCTGCTTGCCCTGTGGTGCAGGCTCTGTGGAACGTGCCAGACCCCTGCCCTGCAAGCGCTGGGAGTCCACCGTGAAACAGGATGCAGACAAAAGCCAGGATGCTGAGCGTGGGCCCCGAGCTACCTTCAGTACCATCCTTGGGAGCAGGGAGCTGCCCGCCACCCTGGGGAAGGACCTCCTTGTCCAGGAGGCCAGGCCGGCTTGGGATGTGGCCCCGCGCCTACCCACAAGTGCCTGGCTCTCCAAGTGGAGCCGAAGCCCTCCCACGGAGGTACCCCCGGTCGGTGCAGGGGCTTCTGGGGTTGTTCACCATGCGGTGCGCACCGCGTGGACAGGAGCCCCAAGTGCTCAGTGTCCTGGGGAGAGGGGAGGTGGTGAGAAAGCTGGGGGGTCCTGGAGGCTCGTCTCTGGTGCCAGGCTGACCCGGACAAGCAGAGGCGAGAACAGAGACTGGCAGGGGATCTGGGAGCCGCGGGAGATGCGGAGGGAGCACCGCCGGGCCGGAAACGATGCTTCTGTGCCTCTCTGACCACAGCCTCTCTGCTTTCCCCCTTTCCTCCCCCCCCGCGCAACCTGCATGCAGGAGCCTTTCTCCTGGGAGGGATCCTCTACTCGTGGCAGTTCCCCCATTTCAACGCCCTGAGCTGGGGCCTCCGTGAAGACTACTCCCGCGGCGGCTACTGCATGATGTCGGTCACACACCCGGCCCTGTGCCGGCGCGTCGCTCTGCGCCACTGCCTGGCCTTGATCGGACTGGCGACGGCGGCGCCCGTCCTCCAGGTCACCACGTGGACCTTCCCCGTCATCTCCCTCCCCATCAACCTGTACATTTCCTACCTCGGCTTCCGGTTCTACACCGACGCGGACCGGAAGAGCTCCCGGAAGCTGTTCTTCTGCAGCCTGTGGCACCTGCCCTTGCTTCTGCTGCTCATGCTCACCTGCAAGCGGCCCCCGGCTGCGGGCGGTGCGGGGGGAGAGCCTCGGACTTGAAATCCCCGGGGGCGCGTGGGGAAAAAAAACCAAAACCAAAAAACACGTACAGGGAGACGCACATTGTTTTTTTCTTTTCCCTTTGCGGTGAGAAGAATATTTTGGTTAATTCTGGAGCTCCAGAAAGGGAAATTGCTGGGTTTTAGTACAAGATCGTAAAATGATTTGGTGCTCAGTGATCGCCCAATGATTTTTTTTTTTTAATAATAACGTCCAGAATGCTCCCCAAATAAGAAATAGGTTGGCTCAGGTGATGAATACAAAGAGAATCTTTTTCTCTCGAGGAGTCTTTATATATTTGTTCCTCCAACACCTCTGTTGTTTTTCTTCCTCCTGTGGATGTACAAGTGCACCTCTTCCTTTTCTGGCCACGCACACGCGCGCACACACACACACACACACACACACACACACTCTCCGCCTGGCCAGATGCAGGGAGCACTGGGACTCTGTCTGTGGTCCTGTCCTCAGGTCCCTGGAGGGCCACGTCGGAGGCCATGCGCACTGCCCACCCTCCCCGTGAATGAGCCAGGGGCCCCGGCTCCAGCTTTTTCTCACATATATTCTCAGCCACATATTCCCCCAAACAATAATAGAATACCAAGGATGCACTGCTGCTGGACTTTAGAAGGGAGAATTCCAAACGGTTGCCTAGGGGATCTCAGGCAGGACTGCCAGCCCCCGGCCCACCCCCATTACGTATCCGCATTTCAACAACTCCAAGGAATCAAAGGCATCTTTATAGTTCACTTGAAATACCGGAGGTGTCTGGAGCGTTTCCTTCTGGAAGGGTGGCGCTAGACTTCACACCAGCGGTCCATCTGCCTCTGACCCGTTACTGTCCCCCTCCGGCCACTGCTGCCCACCGGGCAGGGAAAGCCCAAAAAAGGTGAGCCGGCCTAACCAGCCACATAGGTTGTCCCTTTGGTGAAAAACACATTTCTCTCCAGGTACCTTCTGAATTCAGAAATCAGCCCCCATGCGTCCAGTGGCCGTAAGAGCCAGAGGCTTGGGCTGGACTCCTGGTGGGGGTGCATCCGGTTCCGGGAGTTGTGCGAGTTAACCTGTAGCCAGGTGTGGCCTCAGTCACCTGTGGTTCCTTCCATCCGTCCTTCACCTACGCCACTAGTCCGCTGTCGAACCCCACTTGCCGGAAGGTCTTGATCCTTAACAGGATGTTTGCGTTACTCCATCTCCAGGGCACTGTACTGCCCCGTAGGAACTCATTTCGGGGAGTTTAAGCAACATTCAGACGGTCCTGCAATGTGCCTGTTCTCAGAAATTTCTAAAGCGACTGCAGATACCATCTGACCCCTGTTTCTACTTATCTGCAATATTACCTCTTGGCCGTATCCAGATTCTTGACTGTGGGGAACATGGCATAGGAATGTCTGCAGAGAACATTGACACCTTGTTGCAGGCTTCAAATTTGTAAAATGCCTCCATTCTCTTTTCCTGCCCCAATAAACCGGTATGTAAGAACAGAAGCACGTGCGAGGTCCTTTCTTTAATCACCTTGTATGGAGTTTGCACCGGTCCTGGCAGACTTGCTAACGTTTGACTCACTTTTATGAGCTAGCAGACGATTAGAACGCAATCAGCATTTCTGTGCCAAGGTGGTGGAAGTGAACCCACTGGATTTTTTTATTATTATTATTTTAGTGGGAGAGAGGGAAGGAGCAGGAGGGGGGGGCAGAGGGAGAGAATCCCAAGCAGACTCCCGGCCCAGCGTGGAGCCCGATGTGGGGCTCGATCTCAAGACCCCGAGATCATGACCTGAGCCGAAATCAAGAGTCAGACGCTTAACCGACTGAGGCGCCCAGGTGCCCCCACTCTTGATTTTTAATACCTGTCCACTCTAAAAAATAATAAGCTTAATGATTATTAAGAAGAAGGGCCATGACCCACCCACCCTCACCCTCCCTTCAGTTTGGAATCCCTCAGTCTCTCCCTTCTTCCTTCAAAACCACCACAGAAATCATCCTCAGGGCCCTCCTAGGCCTGTCATTCTCCTGCTCGGAAAATACCAACGGCTTGCGTACCACCCCCACCAGGCAAATGAAGTTCGAGCTTCTCACCACTCAGACCAAGTTTTCTCTCCGGGGATCTTCGATGTGAAGCCACCTCGAGGACTTCCTGCCACGCCTCACACCTCCCTGAGGACACCCTGTTCTCAGAGAAACCCCACCACCAACTCCCCAAACCCCTGTCCCATAGGTCCCAGTGTGGAACGACGATTTCAAGCTCTAGTGACCACCCCCCCCCACCCCACCGCCGTCCCCCAGGCCCCAGGATGTTGCTCACTCACCCGGAGGCCTGGGGCACCTCATTTCTTCACACCTGACCTTGACCACCTTTCCTAAGGACTCCGTGCTCCTCATCAGCATTACCCAGGTGAGTGAAGCCTGTTCTTTAATGGGGTGTCTTTGGGAAGTCTTGCCTATATAACAGCTCCCTTGGGGTGTCACTTAGGCACATGCACGCAGTATGGCCTCATGGGACCCAAAGTTAAGTAAAAATTTTTAAAAAATCTCTGTTGTTTGCTTCCCCTGGCACTTCCCAAGCCTACCCTTCTCAAGTGCAGGACCCTCCTCCCCCGGGGAGCGCCTCCCACCCCGCCCCTGAATTAGTGGTCAGGAGCACAGCCTGGAACATGCTCTCTGGACTAATCAGTTTTCATCCGGGTGCTTCAGGCCACGGCTGCAAGCACAGCACTAGGCCCCCAGGGGCCCTGATGGGGTAGGGGCCACACGGGGTGGGGAGGGGCTTGGGATATGAAACGGGGTTCCACCGGGAGGCCGATTATTCTGGAACGCAGCAAACAAATGGAAAAAGGACGCGTCCAGCCACTTCATTATTATATTTTTTTAAAAGCATGCTTCTTAGCACAGTATTCCTTCTGACCCTGGGGAAATTGTACCAGCCTCCTTTAATTTGAGGAACGCTACTGTATCAGTTATAAGGATAAAACCACATTTCACCAAAGGTTCCGACTCTGGAAGCCTGCAGCTGCCCGGGGAATGCTTTGCCTGCTCCCAGGATCCACTTCTGTCCTTTCAAACATACAAACGGGCTCCACAGAAACACCTTTCGATACATGCGCTTTGAGCCCCCACTGGCCTGTTCTGGAAGAGAAAAGGCAAAACTGCCGAGAGCCGTGCTTGGCTCTGACTCTCCCTCTGCTAGTTCACCCTGGTTTCTCCCCACCCCGCTGTCATCCTCCCCTCCTGTCTGCTGTGCTAGAAAACAGCAGGGACCCAGCACTTCTCCGCCAGGCGGCGATCCTGGGAGCAGAGCAAAGCTTTTCCTGCTTGCTGCCCCTGGTGTGACAGGAGGCTCACTCCTCTGTTTCGGCTGGAGCTGGGGTCCCTGAGACCCACTTCTCCCCGACTCCCTGATGCGCCCCAGGTGATAGGATACTTGTAACTGACTGCAGGAGGGTCCCTTCTAAGGACATGCTCACTTTCCAAGAGAACAGCTCGTTTGACCTGAATGGGGATCGGGATGTTGCCTTGGTTCTTCCTTTGGAATTTGAGGACCGCTAGGGATGACCCGCAAGGTTCTGCTTCTGCCGGGAGCACATTCTCTCCTTCTGGTCAAGTTAGTGGTGTCAAGCAACCAGGCGTCTAAGGCAAGAGGAAGTTAAACAGGGTCCAGCCATCGGGATGGACACTTGGCAGGCTGCCTTTGGAGTCTTTCCCGTCAGCTGCAAACCGTAGGTACCTTTCTATCTGCTAATCTGCCTAGAGTAGAAGTAAGCAGGACCAATACACTTGTTTAGTCTTTGTTGGAAACTCAAATATATTACAGTTTCCCAGCATCTTCAGGCCACAGTTTTGTAACCAAATAGAAGATGTGAAGGGATGTTCTAGATCAAAGAACCTCCGGCCCTCACTTCCTAATTCAGGTTCTGTTCCACGGTCGCTGGGCCCCCCCCAGGCACGTCACAGAACATCCGAGAGGCGAGGCGCCTGGCGGCCTCTGACCTCCCCAAGCTTGCGTTCTGATGGGCCCAGCCTGGGTCACTGCTCATGGCGACCCACCGTGGAGGCCACCGGCTGGAAAATGTTGCCTGACTGTGACCACCACTCACCTCCTCTGTGGCCTCCAGCTTGGGTTTTCGACGTCGTTTCTGGGCTTTGCCTGCTCTAACTGGAGACCACCACCCAGCCAAGCACCTCTGTGTCTGTCTCCCTTAGGACCCATCAGTATGCAACCTGCATGTCGTATTTACCAGTTTAGAGACCGTGCCCTGCTTCCCCAGGACCCCCATTAGACTAAAACCCCAATAAAGCAGTGCTGTCTGTGTCTCACCGCTGTGTCCACTGGCCCCTAGCACCAGAGCTGACGCGGCAGACGCTTGGTCAGTGATGGAAGGAAGGAGTGCGTGGCTTTGGGGGAGGGTGGCCGGAGCTGGAGGAGGGACAGGACTCTCTGCTGGAGTCCTGGACCAGCCCTTGAGGGTGGGGGAGAGTGGCACCCACCCCATGGGACTGAATCTGGGGCAGATGTAGCTTCCTGCTCAGCAGAGTTGAGCCAAGATGAGTTACTGTCATTTCTTGATTTCACTCAGTCTTTGTTTTCCAAATTGCGGTGCGTTTTTACCACTTCCTCTTTCTTCAGGGCTGTCTTGGCTCAAGTACTCAGCAGCAGAGTGTCCTTAGTCGAGTGGACTTCTTGGCCAATATTTCTCTTTCTCTCTGTCTCTCTCTCCCCCCACCCCCGATCCCCCTCTTTTTTTTTTTTTTTTTACTTTTTCAAATACTTAGTGTCTTGCTACCTTCTTCCCCTAAAGTCACTGTTTCGACTCCTTCCCAGCAACCGTGAGCTCAGCTAACACCTGTGGCGTGTGAGAGAGAGCCAGCCCGCATCCGGGGTCAGCTGAAATGAATGGAGCCCCACCCGGTTCATACACTGGGGGACCCATCTGAGAAGTGCAAGCCGAGAGAATGGGGGCCCCAAGGGCAGAGAAGGTCAAGAAGGCGGGTCAGCCGGATTGGGTAGGTGAAA